GTCTGGCCACCGCATTCTGCAACATTTGAAGCTTCCGCATCAATCTCAAAGGTCGCCCCGTGCAGAGCTCATGTTCAAAACATGGACCTGAAACCTGGAAAAAACATTTTTATAGAGTACCCCATTATTCTCAAGTAAGGTGCTTCCCTCTAGCTTGCTGGGATTATTGATCATTTCAAATCTGTACCTGGACCCTTTCAGAGCCAAGGGATGAAGCACTGTTTGACTGTCCAAGAAATGATTATATTCATTTAAAGCATCTCTGTGATTGCAGCTTTAACTTTCTAAGAGACCAATGAGTAACTGACTGTCTTTTCTCTGGAGTACAGCAGTCTGTGGGGAAGGAAGGTGGGGCAGTAAAACCCTTCATCTGCAGTCATACAGGCACCATTTCCACTGAGGAATATCCTTTGCTTTGCAGAAAAGCAGTTGCATGAAAAACAAGAGCTCAGCTGGAAGAACAGATTAACCACCATGTTTTCGTGCCCCCACTTCATGGGTTTTCTCCCACTTGTATGCTGCAAGATAGCGAAAAAGGCATAAATGATTAATCCCTGCTCTAAGAAATATTCTTCACATTTGAAATTCTAAGATAAAGTAATCTGGTTGAAGACTGAAACAGGGCAACCTTAGATAATATGTTTATCTTGACACATGCGTAAGCACAAACACAGACTTCAAGAGAACAAGGGAGTGCATTTTAGTATAAAAGTGACCAAGTTTTGTACTTGGTGTACATTTAGGGATGCATTCAGTGCTCAAACCAATTAGAGAACTAAAAAGACAGTTTGATTAAAGAGATAGTATAACAATCTTAACCAAAGTGCTACAGAAACTACACATGGAAAGGGTTGCTGAAGGAGAAAGCCTCTTCTCAGGCCTTCAGCTGCTCTCAAATTCATACAATTACACAAAAATAAAACAGCTCACCCATTCTGGTGCTGTCCAGGGATTTTGGACTACATAATCCATTATGGAATGCCATTAAAGGCACTCCAGTTCTTCAAAATGCTGCAGCCAAACTGTTAATCAGAATCAGGTGCAGGAAGCAAATTAACTGTTAACAGTAGTTTCACCAATTTTCCAAACCCAATTCATGCTGGCCGTGACCTAGAAAGCCCTTAAAAAAACTTGAGTCCAGGCTGTTTTGAAAGACTGCATCTCCCTATATGGGAGATCCCACATCTTCTCAGGCCTGCCAAGTTCACAGCTGCATTTTACCGAGAACACAACTGAAGGGAAGGGCTTCTGGTGGCTATTCCAAGGCCGTGGAAGTCCTTTTCATGAGAGGATAGGCTGGGCCACCCTTCCTTTCTCTGTCCTTCTGCCAATGGGTCGTCCTTTTGCTTCAAGCCACCTTTTGGCATCTGAAATAGCTGCTGCCCAGAAAGCTCTTAATGGAGGCTGCTGTAGGATGAGCCCATTCCATGTCTGGCTCCATCTTTGCTGTCCTCCTGCAAGCAGGCAGATCTTTCACTTAAGGCAAGCTTTCCCTTAATGATTTGGCTCCTTCAGTGAGGTTCTTAACTGGATTGTTGAGCCTTACTTTGAATGTGATTTTGGTGTTGCTTTTGTTAATGTGGCATTTGTTTTTAGCATTTGTATACTTAACTGTTTTCACCTTTAATATTGTCTTTCAGTTATGTATATTGCCTTGGGTCCTTCATAAGACAAGGTAAATTTTTTTAAAAAATAGTGTGATGGAACAGGGGAACTGCCCTAGTAGGATATCCCCCTCACTTAAAGCCTTGCAGTGTTCCAAATTTTGCAGTGACCTTGGGGAAAGGGGATGACACATTTTCCAGCTTTTTAAATGAGTTCCTAATTGTGAACCGAGTTCCATTTCCAATTAAAGGAACTGTTATCACTAACTGCAACAAGTGTTTCAAAGTTGGGGGGGAAAGCAAATCCTTTCCCTCCTGCAATAAAATATTACAGAGTAGACCTTTGGTCTAGATGGGCGGGATAGAAATCCAAAAGTATTGTGAATGTTTTATGAAAACGGGGGGAAAGCCACTGAGTGACTGGCCACCATTTGTCAACGAAGAACAACTAATTCTACATCTTCTGAAGCGATACCCAGTACAACTCAAGCTGTGTTGTGGCATCTCCCAGTTCATCTCCCATCTTGGAATCTAAACTACAGATCCCCGAATGCAATCAGGCTGATCTTTGAACTTCTTCGTTACTCTCATAGCCAAAGCTCCATAACCTCTAGTCTGATGAAGAGACCTGCACAATCTGAAAACTAGCCTTGTTATGTTATTTAATAACCCAATAAAGGTATACCCTAACCCTGTTTATGGATTTTTCATATGGCCCACGCAGTTGTTTCTCCCCCATCCCTTTTTAATTTTTAAAGAAAAACAGTCAATGCCAAAACTGTATTCATCAAAATGCAGGTGGAAATGCCTATCCCCTTGTCATCCCCTCAAGAAGTGTATGTTCACCTTGGCAGGCCCCACGTCTACAAGCAAGGCCTATCTGCATGCCATCTCAATGCTTTCACCACGGCTCCATCTCCTGCCCCTGCTGTAGTGAAAGTAGATTCATGACCATCGTTATCACCTTGCCACAAATTAAAAGACATTAGAAAGCCATTTCCCAAATGTTTATTGAAGCAGTAAGAGGTTGCTCATACTGTGCTGGAAAAAAAAAGCCATTTTATTCAATTAAGAAACTTAAAAAACAGTATTGCAGCACAATATATTGTTATCTTAACTAGACTCCCTTTTTTGTTAAGCTTTCCTAGATCCATCGAGAGAGAGTCAGCTTTGCAAGATCTAAGATCTATTTCTTCTAGCATAACCACCTTGCGCTCTTGGAAGAAACTGCAGAAAGGCACTTGAAGGCTGTTTCTCTTTTTAGTCATGCTGGTATGAGTTCAAATTCAAGATGTGCTGTTCTCTCTTCACTCCAGATCATCATGGTGAGAAGTCTCATTGATAACCTGTTGAAATGAAGTGTCAACAACCATTAGAACAGTTAACTGCTGGCAGACCTCAGCTTCAAAACATGTTGTAGACCAAGTACCCTTTGGCACTGGATTCCATTTTCACCTAGTGATCAACTGTCTTTGTATTAACAGCTGTTTAAACTTGTAGTGGGCAACCTATGGCCTTGGAGCTCCGTGCAGCCCTCGTGCCCTGATTTCAAGAACTCCTGATAAAGAGATCAGTTCAGACATCTGAGAAGAGGGATCCATCCTTCCTCTAATTAGACAGGAAGCTGAACAACCGAAAGGGAAAAGGTGGCTCTACCAACTCCTATGCATCTCCCACACCACCCCTAACTCTGAAGAAATGTAGCAGTCCATTGAAAAACTGATTGCCAACCCATTTTAAAACTGCACTGGCAGGAAAAAGGGCAGTGCCAGACTTTCTTCCACCTGGTTTTTATTTACTAGGCCTATCTGTGCTGAACTGAAAAGCACACTGCTTTTTACTACCAAGCTTTCCCTGTTTTCTGCTACCTGCCCTCGAGACATCTCACTCTGAGCCAAGGGGCTGGTAAGGCAGCTTAAGGCTGCAGTTCAGATGCAGCTGTCCCTTTCTTTGATCGCTCCTTCCCTTTGACCCCCACCAACTGACCATCAGAGCTATCCCCGGACCTCTTAGCTCATGACAAGCACAACACCTACTCTGGAATTTCTTCAGCAAAGCTTTGAACTAAGCAAGTGACCTGACAAAAATCTCAGAAAGCTGGCATAACCAACATTCTTTCCCCAAAACTGATCACAGAGCCGGTCATATTTAGCCCCAATAAAATCAATGGGACATGTTATTTGTCTCTAATGTAAGGCTCAGTGACTTCAATGTACCTATTCTACTTTAAATTTAAATTCTTGAACTAATGTACGGTTAGATTTCAGTTGTGGATGTATCACATATGAGAAAAAACATTTCTTATTTTGCAAATACCTCTCCCCACTGGAGCTACGTTAACAGCTATCAATTAACCAAACACATACAGAGACTTAATCAAAATTAATTTTTCTTTGTTGCGGAACTTGCACTTACTTGTCCATCTCTAGTTTCAACAGTCTTGATTAGGAGTGTTCTCTTTGAGTGGGTGTCCACTGGAATAGACTCAAGGTTTGTTTCTGTAGATAGAATAATGTACGATGGTTAAAACCTCTGTCCTCCATGTTCCCTTGCGATAGAAAGATACAGGCTTGCCTCACTTTACGAAAGCCTCGGTTTACGTAATTTTCGGTTTACGAACCGAAATCCATACAAAATAATGCCCCAGTTAACTTTTTTTTAAAATTTTCCCCACTGTATGAAAGGGCTTCCCCAGGATGCATCGCACCTGGAGGTTTCTAGCGCCACCCCCGTTCCTAGCGCAATCTGCATTATCGGTTTACGAAATTTCTGCATTACGTAATGTCCCGGAGGATGCATTAATTTCATAAACTGACGTACCCCTGCAACTAGCAATGCTTATTTCAGTGGTTTGTTTGGGTCAAGTACTATGCAAACCACTCATGAAGTAAACATCAGATTACTAAGGCATCTGCATTAAGTCTACTGCAAAACACAACTTTAAAGAAAGTCAGATACATGTAAAGATGACTCAAAGTGGAACAACCCACTACCCTTAGATGTGACATGAATGAATTGCTTCTTTAGAAAACCTAACTACACATTACACATTGGTTAAGATCAGCTTGGGCGAGGTCTACCTGTCAGCAATGACAAATTAACATATCCCCTTTGCTATATCACAATACATGTGAATTTGCTGCACTGCTCATGAGCAGTGCACACCTCTAAAAATCACAAAAGGAAGTTTTTAATCTATCATCACCAATTATGTCACTCCTGTTGCAGGCGAACATGTGCAAAAGGATGTCAATCATTAGATACAACACAGGAGGGACAATGATTTAGACCTGAAAAAGACTGTTCAATTCTTTTTGGTGATCTAATAAAGGTATTACTTGCTCCTGCATTTGTATAATGATTTACATATTCATCAGGATCCAGTGAAAGTCAAAACCATTTGTGTCAGTCAGATGCCAGTCCTGAGCAGTTTCAATGCCAACTTAAGATCAAATGTTAATATTTCTTCATGAAGTTATACCTCTTGGAATAATAGCAATTTCCTGCAACTTACCTCTCAGGTTCAGGGAAGCAAAGGTCGGAATAGGCATGGAAATTCTGTAAAAAGAGTAACAACAAATTAGATACACAATTGTGATTTTTTATTTTGTTTCAGAGTCGCCTACCAGAGGTGAAAGAGATGTACCCATTACCTGCTCTCCTCTCCTTCCAGCAGTTTCCTGTAAGTGGCAATCTCAATATCAAGAGCCATCTTGACATTCAGGAGTTCTTGGTACTCGCGAAGATGGCGAGCCATTTCTTCCTTCATGTTCTGGATTTCGTCTTGGAGACGAGTAATAGTGTCTTGGTAATTAGCAGCTTCAAGAGCAAAGTTTTCCTCCATCTCACGCATCTGGCGTTCCAGGGATTCATTCTGTAGGGGGTTTCAAAAGTGCATATTAATTGGCAGCAGTGATCAATGCTGTACCTACTTAAAACTCTATGGCTCACAACACACTTTGGTGCAGTAATATTCCATTATATATATGTAAGTAATATATTCAATTATATATAAACAATATATTATAATCAAGTCATTTTCAAATATGGAAAACAAACAGAAGTGTGCAGGAAACCATCTCACAATTAAACTCAAACCACCTCATAATTAGGTAAAGGTTCCCCTTGACAAATGTCCAGTAGCGTCTGACTCTAGGCGGCGGTGCTCATCCCCGTTTCCAAGCCATAGAGCCAGCATTTGTCCGAAGACAATATTCCATGGTCACGTGGCCAGCGCAACTAGACACGGAACACCATTACCTTCCCACCGTGGTCGTACCGATTTATCTACTTGCATTTGCATGCTTTCGAACTGCTAGGTTGGCAGGAGCTGGGACAAGCGATGGGAGCTCAGAGGCTTCTGCGGTTTAACCCGAAATGCTACCACGTCCCTCTAACCTCATAATTAAACTCTTATATATGCATGCCTTCTATAGCTCAGAAGAGGAAATTGTGGGCCTTTAACCTCCATCAGTCCCTGCCAGTATGGCCAAAGACCAGGGATGATGGAAGTTTATCGTATGCTTATCCCACTAACCATCTGTGTTCTTCTTAAAGAAAACCCCAAAGCCTTCTGCCTCAAGTGGCATCTTTCACTTACGGTTCCTTTAAGGGCATCCACTTCACAGGTGAGAGACTGGATTTGCCTACGGTACTCATTCGCTTCTTGTTTGGCCTGGCGCAGCGCATCATTGTTCCGGCTAGCTGCTTCAGAGAGATCTGCAAACTAACAACATGCTAGAGTTAATAACCATACAAACATGTCAAAAGTGAAAGTCATCATCATTTACATAATATGTGTTACATTAAGGACTAAGGATTTAAAAGTCCACTACCAATGTTTAAGATTGGTATGTGACTTAAACAAATCAAAGAACTCCACTGCTGGTTCATACTTTATGGCACTAGCCTATTCTGATGGATCAGACTGTGTACCATTAAGGTTTAATGAGACTCGTACAGTACAGTCTTTTATATCTTACCTAAGCAGTAAGTAAACTGACCCTTTTTTTCCTCTTCTCTCTCTTTCTGCAGGGCCTTTGTTTACAATAACAAGATGTCCCTTCAGAACTCCAACTGTTTTTAACAGCATAGCCCAATATATCAGCAGCTTATTTGTTTTAACATGTTACTGCCCTGTAATTATATTTTCAGTTTAAGTCATACAATCTGCCATGTAGACCTGGTGCCAACAAAGCAAATTATATTTAAAATATTGTTTGCCTTCTACATGGTTCAATGGTTTTCAATATATTTAGATAATATTTTTAAAACTATTCCTTGTTTTATATCTTTGGTTGTTATGAGCTGTCTTGGGCCCCCAATGGAAAGGTGGCATATCACAAAAGTGAACTTAAAACCAATTGTGCAGAAAGTCATTCACTTACTTTAGATTTGTACCACTCTTCAGCTTCCTGAAGGTTCTTGGTAGCAACACTTTCATACTGTTGGCGCACATCGCGCAGGGCAGCAGTAAGATCAGGCTTGGCAACATCCATATCAATCTGGATGTGTTGCTCCTGGAGTTGGGCTTGAAGCTCACGGATTTCCTTCAGGAAAAGAAACCCACAATATCAGACAATGAACAATCACTAGCTCAAGTATCGCCACCTTACATTTCTCAAGTACCAGCACTCAAAAGCTGACCAAACTCAATTCACCTCCTCATGAAGCTTCTTCAAGAAGACAATCTCTTCTTGCAGGGATTCAACTTTGCGTTCAAGATCCAGGCGAGCCAAAGAGGCATTGTCAACATCCTGAGGGAGGGAAAAGAAAGTCTCAGTATAATTGGAATTAAATTAAACAGAGAGATAAAGATACTTATGGACACTTTATAGTTAATATATTTAAAATGTGGTTACTGTCTAAATAAGCCATGGGTAAACTGCATTTCCCTTTCAGTGTAATATTTAGTAGTTGTTTTTTCGGATGAGACATGTTTTCTTTCTTAAAATGTGAAGATGCTAAGAAGAATGTATGTTTTTGTGTGGCCATATGTTAATAAATCCATTAATCAATAACCAGTTTAAATATAATGCTTAAACACTGAGGATACATTATGGGATTGTTTGTTCCCAATTCAGAATTCTGCTGCAGCTACTTTTGGATAGTGGGGGCAGGGGACCCTGAATATATTGGAAAAAAAACCCAAGAGAGCATACCCTTAGTTTTGTTTACTGAGTACAGGTCATAGAAACCTACTAAATTGAAGGCCTCTTGATAAATCAACATCACCCAGTATTTAAGAGATGACAAGTTAGACTAAACATGTCTGATCATCAGGAAAAAAATCCCATACCCATTTCTGTCCAGTTAGAAAATATGAACAGTTTTAGATGAAATCAATCATATGTTTAAATTTATGCACTTGCATATCATTTTCACTACTGCAGAATTTCAGGGTAACTCTATCACTGGGTAAAATGATGGTAGGTCCCCTATCATCTCCCCCTTTGCTTCCTAAACTAGGCTAACCTCCACCTAACAGAGCCTGCTGTGCTTGGATTATTATAGAGAACACTGAACTGTTTCCACCAAGTGAGATCCAACTGTCAACACAGCAGGCTTCTGTACACAGAAGAGGGTGGGGTGGGCAGTGATAATCTTTGCTGCCTGTTATAAAGAGGCCACACACTTCAAAGTATCTTAGACTGACACTGCACAATTTACAATCTTTAGATACTGTACAAATCGGGTACCAGATGCCTTGATGCACATAAAGCAAACTCTTTAAATTCCATTCTCCCTCCTCTCTCTCTTCTCATACACATACACAGAGAGAGGGGGAGAGAGGGAGCATTTAACTAAATAAAACAGAAGCCAGAATCCTATTGGTGTTCACAGAAGCTGTAACTTGCTGCAGCTAATTGTAGCTAACCGATGAGGTGCCAGGGCACATCTCAATTGCACAATCAGGTACTCAACATAACAAGAGTGAGATATACCCTAGCATCTCATCAATTAGCCATGGCAAATTACACAAACACCAATAGGATTCTAGACACAAATGAAAAAAAAAAAGAAATTTGGAACATAAAAGCAATCCAGTGAGAACTACACCAATAAAAACATAAAAAAAACCCTCGCCACCTAAAAGCTACTTCAGCAAAACAGTTAACTTAAATGCCCAAGCCCTATCTGGAGTAAGTAAATGCCCACTAGCAGAACAACAAAAGCAGAGCTAAATGGGCCGCTCTTGAGCAGCATATTTTATAGCTGGGAAAAAGCCACTGAGTCTTTTCGATCCCAACCAAATGTATCCCATGGTGGTGGGATGATGAGAAGGTCTGGTCTGAAAAATATTTAAAGGTGGGGAGGTTCATAAAGAAGAAAGCAGTCCTTCCGGCAGTTAATAATGAATGCTCCTGAGTTTTCACTACGCTGCATTTAGGAAAACAATTGTACTACCTATAAAGAAATTACTGGTTTCCCTCAAGAGCTGAAGTCTCAGGCAAGAAGGAGTGTAAATACTGCAAATACAGCCAAAACAAAAACACAGACAATGTGATGTTGTGTCTATCTGGCAGCATGTGATGGGATTAGAGCTACTTCTGTTTCCTGTGGACTGTGCAGATTTGCCCGGCATTGTAACACAGAAGCTGAGCAATGCTGTTTTTTTAATTCAATTTCATTGCTATGGACTTATGCAAGAGAAGAATCCAAATCTTCTTTAAGACATCTCAAATCTAGCTCAAAAATGCAGATTTTGAATATCTCAACATACACAGCTTACTCTCAGTTCAGCTGCAAGAAAACTAGTGCACATAAGAGTATTTCCCCAACAGATAGGTATGCTTAGCAGTAAGAATGTTGCCCTGGGATTTGGAGAGCCAAGTTCCAAGTCTCCACTGAGCTGTGAAACTAGACCAGACAGCCACGGGCCAATTACACTTTTTTTTCCCTCCGCTTGACCTACCTCACAGGGCTGCTGAGTTGATAAAATGGAAGAGGTAGAGAGCCAGGTATTCTGGCTTCAGCTCACAGGAGCAGGTTGTAAATACAACCAGTAAGAAGTAACAAGTGGAGGAAAGAGCTTCAAAGCAAGGAAGAGACAATACACGCTAGCTAACTCGACAGCATAAGACTAGGACACAAAAGGCTACACATATGAAGCTATGCTGTGCACAAAGGCAGAAAAATATGAAAGAACAGTAAATACTGCACTGAAGCAGATTACTGGCAATGAAATGTGGGCAAGCAGTGAAAAATTATACTTTAGGCCTGTAAGACCAGTCAATTTATGGAGTTTGGAACACTGAGATACAAGAATCAGAACTTCCCCTTAAGTTACAACAATTTCAATCCAAAACAAAGCGGGGGGGGAATATGATTTGAAGGTGTGAGCAACGGCAGTTCTGGCCCAAACCCTGCGTGTCACTATCTCCTCTGGGAGAGGGACTGTCTGGTGAGGAAAGCCTCTGCTATGATTTGAGTCTTTTCTCATGATTTGGATTCTTAAAAAGACTGGGTTCCCAGCACATGTGTAGCAGACTGTCTCCTCTCTGAGAAGGCAGCAAAGACAAGCAGAGAAAGGACAGAATACTCTCCCTGCTCATGTTTCCACACTAACCCTTTTCTAGACACCTGGATAGGTCTACTGTGCACTTAACTTCTCAGGTGTTTCAGCTGAAGTTCATCCTCTTAGGCACAGAGAGAAACAGGCAAGGGGGTACTGGTGCGCCTGAAAGCTTCCAAGATACGTCCATCCACCTTTTTTAAAAAGGTCGCAGCAGCCTCAATGCTTTTTAATACCTCCCCTCCCTCATTTTTAAAAACTGGAAGTAGACTTCTAGAAACTCCTAGTGTGCTCATTTCATTTTTTCCCCACATTTTGGCCCATGTGCGCAGCCTCCAGAAGGAGAAAACTGGCCTTAAACCCACTGAATAAACCACGTTAGTACTCTTAAATTGTATGGCTACAATTTCCATAGTCCTCCAGCATAAAGAGGGGCTTAAATCCCTTGTCAATCAATTTCAAAGCTTCACATTGTAGGCTTCAATGGGCTTCTCTTCAGGTTTGGGTCCCCTCACCAGGAGAAAGGCAGCATAGAAATAAAATAAAATAAATTTTGTTATCATTTTTATTTAGGAGCATTCAAATAAGGAAAAACACTCCAAACACAGCCACTTCATGTACGTTTAAATTTTGTTAATTACAGCCTGAAAGTTCAACCTATTGAGATAAGAGTCTTGCAAGCTTTGTAACACTTCATATCAGTGAGAAGAAAGCTTTTAGGAGCTAAAGGGATTCTCTCATTTCCCATTAACCTATTGCTAAAGTTCCTCCCCCTTCTCCACACCTCTGGCTTGCCCAAGCCTCTCTTCTTGTTCCGTTTGCTTTGCTTCTTTTCTTTTCTGCTAGACTCTTCTTCACTCATGATGTCTGACCATGAAGCCAGTATATAAAGGGTCAGTCTCTCCACATGGTTAAGCTAATCTGTCCTCATTTTTTGTCCCTTATTCTTATGACTGCAACTATAGACAACAATTAAAAGTAAATATACCTCCTCTTCTACTTCAAATGCTTTTAGAGTGATTTGAACATCTAAAGTCACTGTGAAAAGGGATGGACTGCTGAGACTGAAGCTATTTTCCCATGCTTTCTCTACGCAATTGTTTTTGTATCTCATACTTTGCTAAGAATAAGAGGAATTAACCAAATTCTCCACTACAAAGCAGAATATCCCAACACTGCCACGATGGAATTATAATCCACAACTGTATTGGTCACTTCCCCTGTGCTCCAAGAGGCAGTAACAAGTTTAGCACAATGTGTGCACAATCTTACACAGGGATAATAACACCTTGTAGATAAACAAGTACGTTAGATATTTAAGCTAGAGATACAAGGGTTGAAAATCAGTTTTCGGCATCAGAGCTGCTATTATTATCTAGTCCTCCCCCAGAAACAAGGTTTCAGTACTATCTTACTGTGTGTACAGGACTGGAGTCCTGTAGATTCTACAAGGCATCCAGTGGTCCTCACAGACCTGCTTGAGGATATGAACCTGTTGAACACTGAAGCAAACTAGTCAAGTCTACACCTGCACAGGCAAATTGGGCAAAGGTGTCTTGGCCCACCTACACAAGATCTTTTGTATCAAAATGCTTAGGACTAACTAAGGGATTTTTAATCAGCCACTGAAGTATGGTCCTTTCCCCAAGACATTCATTCTCTCTCTAATGAATGCCTGGGCTAAATAACTCGCATTCCACTTCTTTATGTTTCTTTCCCCTCCCAAGTAAGACTTGAATGGAGCTGAGCGGTGACCCCCTAGATTGAAGACTGCATGAGGTTAGACTGAAGAAGTACAGTGGTGCCCTGCTTGACGATTACCTCGTTATACGACGAAATTGCTTGATGACGATGTTTTTGTGATTGCTATTGCAATCGTAAAACACTGATTCTATGGGTGATTTTCATTTGACGATGATCGTTGGGTTTTCAAAATGGCCGCCCACTGTGCAAAATGGCTCCCCGCTGTTTTCAGGACTGAATGCTCACTATACAGGCATCGGAAAATGGCCGCCCTATGGAGGATCTTTGCAAAATGAGCAGGCATTTCCCCCATTGGCATGCATTGAACCGGTTTTCAATGCATTTCAATGTTTTTTATTTCACTTGACGACAATTTCGCTCTACAGTGATTTTGCTAGAATGGATTGTCGTCAAGTGGGACACCACTGTATAGCTACAGTGATTTTGCTGGAATGGATTGTCGACAAGCGGGATACCACTGTATAACACATAAAGTTC